ACAACACTGATCTTTGCTGCTTCAAGAGCTGTATAAGAAGAGTTTCCTCTTGTCTGGTTTCCACTGTCTTATCAATGGCAGCCATTCAATTTTCTAGATGTCGGATACTATACAGTCTAACTTATGAGCGAGTACTTATCAAACGCCACCTAATGTAATGCTTCAATACTACAGCACTGGCTAAAAACACACGATACAACCAATAACTACCCCAAATACCATCGGCTCGAACCAACGGAGGAGAAGCAAATCCAACACATGTTCAATAGCCTTTTTAACCCCATCTTACTTTCCATGAGCATGCTTTAGGGTTTTGAATACTTGTGGCTTGGACTCAGATGTCACGTTTCGCTCCATGGCCATCCGGGGCTCTGCTGTCCTTGTCAGACCTCCGAGGATCGCCCTTTCATATTTGTTCTTCATCGTGTAAGGGCCGCTCTTCGTCGCGTTTGAAAACGAGCTGGGATCTGGACTGGTACGGCGGATTTGAAAGCGCGAGCTTGAGGGGAAGGTGTATTGGCTCGACGGTGGAGCCTGGGTTTGATCTGCCGATTCTGTTGCTATTGTTGGATGCAGTGTGCTCTGCTTCAGCAAAGCCTCCTCTTCCTCGATTTCTTTCAGCTCCTTGTTCATCTCATCGATTTCTCTTTGGAGGCGCCACTCTTCGTCACTTTTCGCCACCGACATGTCGGTACCACCATCTTCTTTCTCGCCCCTCTCCTGTTTAGAATTGTCTTCACCGAATTCAGCCTTGAGATCCGAAAGCACACTTGTGAAGTACCTCCCAACTCGCGCTCGCTCCTGCTTGTCAAAAGTCTGGTAGTTTATCGCTTCCTCGTCCTCGTTCAAAAGTGCGGTATCACGCAGTAGATCTCCAACCAAGTACAAGCTACCCGTCACGACGATGGGATTCCGCCCTTCCGTCAGATACTTGGCAGTAGCTACTGCTCTATATACTTCCGGGGTGTTGTTACAGAGGCCAAGAATGTCAGGGATGATATTTTTTGCGGCTTTGAGTATAGAATTTGGCTTCATAGGCTTGACCCATGGCATACCGTCCACCGGTCCAAAAGTCGTTGTCACGATCATATCTCCAGGCCGAAGTAGTGCTTGTAGGAAAGGAATGACTTGCTTCCCCTCTGACATTGCAATCACCCAAGTGACGGGGACCATCCTTGGTGCATCGCCGTCTATTATGTTGTCTCTTTGACGCAACTTCTTTGATACGTAATCGTCGAGTGCTTTTGCAGCATCCCTGTTGTGTGCGCCATCAACAAGAATTTCCCTGAACGCTCCGAGCATGCGCGTAAACTTTTGCATTTGATAGCGACCTGGAAGGCCTTTGCGTGTGACACCAATTAATAATTTGGGGGCTTTTGAAGTGCTCTCTTTCATGCTGGTTAAGGCCGTGAAAAATGCACTGTAGGCCAAAGCAAGGTTGTCACGCTGGATTGTAGACATTCCAGAGACAGCCTTCACCCAATCGGGAGTAGAATAAAGTGAGGTGCGCAATTGTTCACTGCCTAAGTCGATAAGGGGGCCGGCACCGACTTCCTTGGCAACGTCGTCGACGGCCAGCCGCACCGATATATCGTTTCGAGGGTTGAGGATATATGGGATGGAGGGTCTCAAAATGCCGGCTTTGTGTTTGGCGATCTCTTGTAGAGTGTGTCCAAGGAAGGATTGGTGATCGTGCGCGATCTTCGATATCACAGAGACGACTTGATTGTTGAGGATGTTTGTAGCGTCGAGCTTCCCGCCCATGCCCACTTCCACTACACCAACGTCGATATTGGAGTCATTGAAGATTTGGAACGCGCTAGCAGTCAAGATCTCGAATGGAGATGCATTGATGTTTTCCCTTTCGCTCAATTGGATAAAGTGGCGTTCTACAGTCTTAAATCTCAGCTCGCCGACAGGCTTGTCATTGACAGTGATACAATCCCACCTTAGGAACAGTTAGAAGATATTTTTCTTCCAAACCGGCACGTGATATCCTACCGGTCGATTATGTGGGGGGATGTGAAGCGACCATTCTTAATGTTTCTCCGTGTGAGGAGGGCAGACGTGGACGCACATATGGATCCTTTGCCATTCGTGCCGGCGACATGAATGGCCTTCCACGGAAAGTGCACATTCTTCAACAGTGCTCCTATCCGCTCCAATCCGGGCTGGATCATGACGGGAATCTGAGGCTGTCAAGGCGACATGGGTGTTGATGGAGCCAGGCGCCAGGCTGTGGGTTCTGGACGGGAAGGTGTGCGAAATGTTTGAAACGCGCAGTCACTCTGTTCCTGCAGACGGTGGTGAGTCAGGCCCGTGAATGGGTGGCAGACGTGGAGCAGAACAGGCGACAGGACGCGCGATGCCGAAAGCAGCGATGCCGTCTTGGCGCCGACAGTTTAATCAGACCTGCTCTGCATGTTTGGAGATTCTTTGGATTTGCGAGGAACAGAGCACGCAGAAGTGAGGCATCGAGGCTGCCAACAGTGCCGCGCTGTGCCTGCAGCGTGTTTTGCTCTGGAAACCGATATTTGAAGCCTGCGCGACCGTGTTCTGCGGGTGGCAAGACTCGACAGCACCGCCATCCCTCACCCTCATTTTTGAAGCGCTTGCCGCTCGCCTCGCTCCAACCCGATCACCCTTACGACACTCCCATCATCAACAAACTCTCGCCACATCAACTTGCATCTCCCTCTCCACCCAAACAACCCACCCGGACATCTGCTGCACTGCAAAATGGGACTTCCTATGTGGACACACAGCCCCGAGGCGAAGGACGCGCTGAAGGTCGACTTGGTCGCCGCCGCCGCACGCTCGCCCATCCGACGCCGCTCTCTGGGAACGCGCGCCCGGTCCATCAGATCACCGAGATCGCCAGACTTCCAGCGACCTGCACATGTCGAAGCCACCACGCGCCGGTCACGACTACCCCCGCCACCAGCCCCCGAGTCGCCCGCGCGCGATTACACGCGCTTCAGCAGCTTTCGGGACACGCCCGGGGTTGCGCCCGACGAAGAGCACTTGATGCGCTTGCGCCGCGAGAGGTACTACCGCAACCTGTACGATACAGGCGTCCCGGGCTTCGGCGAGGTCACGCACTTTTCCTCGTCGCGGGGCCTCCCTGCGCTGACCGCCAGCTTTGCGCCGGCGACAGGATGGCGGAATGCGCGTCCAGAGCGCGTGTCGCACGCCAGGGAGCGCTCGAGCTTCCGCTCACGTTCTCCGTACCGGAGGGCTTCTGCGCGGTCGCGGAGCCCCTGGGCCGACGCTGCGCCGTCTACTCGGTCTGATCACGTCGTAATCATCGAGGATGGCGATTTCGAGGAAGGCCAGAGCGCGCCGGTCAACCTCCCGCCGTTGCGCCGCATGGGCCGCCGCACCATCGCAGACGGGCCCCTTCCCTCGAGCTCACTGAGGGAGTCTTGGAGCCCTTCAACCACAATAGACGGCCTGGGAGACCGCGACCGCAGCGTCAGTCCCGCAGACGACCCGTGGGACACTATGCTCAGCACCGTGGCGCCAGATCCGCTCCCTCCCACCGCAGATTCGTCCTTCACGTCTGCGGCAGCCTCAGCCTCGTTCTCCAACTCTCACCCCAGCTCCAGGGCTGGCAGTTCGAATTCGAATTCGAATTCCGCCGCCTCTTCGCGCACACATGTCACGATTCCTTCACGGCGGCAGTCCACGACGGAGCTATTCTACCGTGCTTGCGAATCATCCGAGGATGATACCGCGTCTGACACCGAAGAAGAGGACATAGAGCCACGTCTGAATCTCACGTCGATGCGCAGGAGGAGTCGACATTTGCATACAATGGAGCAGCCGCCGCCACGGAATCTCCACCGACAGTCTCATGGCCTCATCGAGCGCACCCGAGAAGCGAATGCCTTCGTTCGGAATGTCCTCTCTGAGAGGGCTTCTCGGGACAGCGCCCCGCCAACAGACCATCCGAATGCATTTCAACTTGACGGCCCAACCGAGGAGCTGACGGTGTACTCCGGCAACAGCAGCGTTATCGGACTACTTGAGCAAGACATGCGTGAGGCTCAGGCCGACATGCGGGAGGCTCAAGCCAACCTCCGTGAACAGGACGCCTTCATCCGCAACATCCTCTCGGATCGTGCTTCGCGAGAGAGCGCCCAACCGTCTCAGCGCCCAACCGCACCTCAAGTTGATGGCCCGATTGAGGAGTCTGGACATGCGAGCGCCGACATGGATCCCGCTGATCTTGATCAAGAGCTCAGCGAGGCCCGCGCCATTCTGGAGCAGCTCCGTCGGAGAGGCGATGTCCCTGACAACTTCTGGGCCTCTGTGGGCTTGATGAGGTCAATTTCCTGAGTTATTGGGACCTTCCAGGAGCGTCATCGTTGATGATTGTTCCATTCTTTCATACCGAATACGCTACTTCTGCAGGCCATTGTAGCGGCTCTCGTTTGGGTTTTAATACCTGATACGATATTGGAGGCGATTGTCTAGGATTCTGTACGACCAGACGCTTCCATTTATGTCCATGTTTTGTTATCTGGACAGTTTCTTGCTCACGGCTATCGAACCCTAATATTTCGCTTCGAAAAGATTTGTTCTACGCTTTCAACACTTTGAAGTCCGACTTGGTGGATGTTATGGATTCAGCGCTTTTCTTATTCACGTTTGTCTTGGCACTTCTCCCTGCGGCTCTCCACATTGGGTTGAAGAGCGCCGCTGTGTGATTGTCACGGATTATGTATTCTACTGTTCGCGCTCGATCTCTGTAAAAAGAGGTCTTGAGCCGTTCAAAAATGGAATGGAAAAGCATTTGCACGCTGCTGACCGTGCTTCTTCAGATAGATCTGCATCCCTATGGCTTGCATGTGAGTGTGATGCGCAGTAGTATCGATTAAATCGTGAGACACTAACTCCACCAAACGTGCATGACGATGGATGTCCACCTGACATTCAAAAAAAAAACTGTTCCTCGCTCTCCCAGACGAAGCACCAAAAAGCAAAACACAGTAAGACATCCGTGGTGGGGCTCGAACCCACAGCCTTTGGATACACTCCAACTTACGTAAACAGCAAATGTAGAAGTCCAACGCGCTACCATTGCGCCACACGGACGGGTCGTTCCTTTTTCAGGAGCATTTGAGAAAATTTTAGGGCTTAGGTGAAATATGTATGGGGTGTGTTGGTGGGGAACGAGGAGGGGGGTTGGAATGGGGTAAGAGCGTTTGTGCGAGAGGCGCAGTCAGCGGTGAGAGGGGTGTGCTCGTTGGTGGGTGGAATAGTGGGGTTGGAATGGGCGGTTGGGGCGCGGAAATCAGATAGGTGAGAACAACAAATACTAGGGAAGTGTTGTCAGAGGGTATCCAAGCATTTCGAGCCCTAGGGGTTCGCCTGAGCCCTTGAAATACCTCGGATAGTCGCAATTGATTCAGCGTCGCGGATGATCCTACCGTGGTTCGGTGTTTGTGAATCCTACACGATTTGGGGGCTATTCGGGTTCGTAGAACAAGGGAAGCGGAACTGAAATAGAACTTTTCGGGCTATTTGCCAGAAGTGTTCATTCTGAGAGGTTGAGTTGCAGTTATTACGATGTGCTCAACTTTCTTGGATTCGGATAGACATTAGCCTGTCTGAATCTTATCAAATATAGAGAACTTACAGATCCCTTTCAAAAACGAAAACTCATGTGGGTTTAGAGATTTAGCTTTACTCTCAACGCCTGGTGTACATTGTTATTTCCTATCCCCTGTTGTTGTGGGGAATGTGGGGAGCTGGACGATGAGGGGTTAACAATAAAAGCTTGCGGGGAAAGAAACCTGAAAATTTTACATGTACACTGTGTATATATCAAGCATCGGATTGTATTGAATATTGAAGCTGAAGTTGAGGCCTGCCTAAGCAACCATGGCAGAGTCAGAACGGAAAACACCGAAACTACTAGAGCAAGACCTTGCTGGGAAAGTTGCAATAGTAACGTATGATTCCCTTCCTTTCTGTTACAAACAGCGAATCTACTGTCGGCTCGCCAGTTCCCAAGCTTTCTTTCAATAGCTGTCTTTTTCTCCTCTGATGTTGTTCTCCTTACCCATACTCCAACTCCAGCCGCTCCACCCAGTCTCCTCGCCATCTCCTAACCCACTTCTAACAACACCCAGCGGCGCAACTCAAGGCATAGGTCGAGCCATCTGCATCAATCTAGCAACCAGAGGCGCCTCCATTATCGGAACATATATCTCCTCAGCCTCATCTGAGCTATTCTCTTCCCTTACAGCCAGCATCACAAGCCTATACGCCTCCTCTACCCTCTCTTGTCCAAAGCTCATAGGCATTGAAGCTGACATAACTATCTCTACCACACCTTATCTCATTATCCATGCCCTTCGAACTCATTTTTCGGGTACAGTCGACATTGTCGTCTTCAATGCGGCGGTTATGGGATTAGCAAGGATGGGCGAGGGAGCTGTGGACGAGGAATTTGTGAGCAGAGCTTTGGTGGGGAATGTTACTTTTCCCATCATGCTGATGGAGAATTTGGTTAGTACGAGCTGTATTAAGGAGAACGGGCGGGTGGTGGCTATTAGTAGTGAAGGCGTGAGAGCCAGGAGACCTCCTGGAGGGTATGTTGAACTTTTCATACTTCTAGAGGAGGGGGTTTCGAAGACTAATTGGAGTTATAGGTCTGTGTATGCAGCTACGAAATCTGCGATTGAGTGCCTTATGAGGTATGTCTGTGTTCGCCAACTTGCGTTGAGTTATCATGACGATTGCGCGCAGGAAATGGGCAGATGAGCTCGGCACTCACCCTTCCATGACTGGTACAACGTTCAATTCCGTTTCAGTGGGATTCACAAAAACGGAGGCGTATCATCGCATGGCTTCTGATATGAGGGATAGACTGACTGCATCCGATGCTGAAGAAGTGGCCGTGGCTCATCGGATTGGGGAGGTTGAGGATGTGGCTGATGTTGTTGGGTTGCTTGTTAGTGAAAAGGCTAGAGTAGGTAGACTATTACGAGTGGAAGAGAGAACTGTGTGCTGACAACAAGCAGTGGATCAGTGGGAGTGTAGTCGACGCGAGTGGAGGAAAAGCAAAGATTATGTAAATGAAGGAATGTGTCAGTAAACATTGTATCCATTGAGGCTTGTGAGACGGTAGACTATAAATATTTCATTGTCCGATGTATGACCTCCTGCGATCGTGATGTTTAAGTGGTTAGAACACTCTAGCATCGAACCCTATTCAATATAAATACATGCCTTTTTGTCTGATAGATCAATACTCTTTCCTACTCGCTCGTAGACTACATAAAGCGTGGCCGACCGTCCTTCTCAAGTAATTATGCAAATATCCGAACGCCAATGCCCTGTAATCCAGAGCCGCAAATGCCGTGGTCCGGTAGTCTGTATTAATCATTTCTTCATTAGCAATGGCGTATCACCAATTCCATGAACGTGACGCTATTCTTCAATCAAAAGTTGGAAAGTCCAATCGCTCCATAGATCTGCTAACAAATTGCTCGATCAAGAGCTTAAAGTTCTTTAGGACGCTTATACGAGTCTGCGCATGTGAAGGCTTTTCCACCTTTGCCGTGGTGGAGCTCGGTGCCGGAGTGCCAGAGGCCCAAGATACACTGAAACGCAATCAGTCAGGTCCTTAGCATATGCTTGCCTAAACTCACAATAGTAGCTCCAAGAAGGAAGAGCCCAATATTCAGGAGGGAGAGCGAAATCTTACGCCAGTTGGAAGTGAGGTGGTTCTTATTCATATAGAGCCATAGGCCACCAGGGAGGCCAACTGCAAACATTAGTATGAAGTGCATTCTTTGATGAAGAGGACTCGGACTTACAGCTGAACCAGGAGCAAAATAGTGCGGCAATAAGACTCAAAAGAAGGTTGAAGTTCGGAATTGCCTCAGCAATCAACCACGACAACGTCCACAATACCGCGCAAATCGCCACCCAGCTTCCAAGACTCCTGAAGTTGGTCTGGTGAATCACATCTGTTCCCTGCCAGATTCTCCTATAGACATATTTGCAGGCTACACTCCCATTCACCACTCCCGCGATGACAATTGTCGGCATTGCGAGCCCATAGCATATCTTTCGGAAGAGAGGTGGAGCGGAACCGAGAGCAGGAGATGCAACGAGCGGCCCAGCGTAGTAGTAGATCACCACGGAGATGACCATATAGAAGGTTACGGCGGAGATTTGCATGAGGAGGAGAGCTTTGGGATAGGAGCGGGTGTCTCTGAGTTCGGCGGCAAAGGAGAAGAAGGCTACGTGACCACCTAACATACTGTGAGTCCAAAGAGTACCAGGATATTGAGAGACCACATTACCGTATGCGAGCATAATGTTCATCACTGGACCGAGGCCCTGCACAACAGAGATGCCTGGTGTCACAGCGAGTACCTTTCCGACGTCAGGCTTATAGATTCCAATACTAATCATAGCAACGGTAACGGCTACGACGATTGAGAGGCTCGCTGTAGTATGGTCAGAAAATGTATCTGAAATTCTCTTTGTAGCACTCACAAGCAATGGACAGAAAGCTAACGGCCTTTAAGGTCCTCGGTAATCCAAGAGCAAAGCACACGATCAGTCCGAAAAAACTGAAGACGATGGTACACATCCCATGATCTGTGATAGCATTCAGAGCGACATGGAAGCTCAGAATATGTGCCGCCATGATGAACACGAGGATTAGGACTTGCGATACAGCCAAAATTTCTTTGCCAACACGTCCAGCAATCATTTCGCCACAGTCTGCATATGACTGAACTTTCGGGAAGGCGAGTTTGAACTGTCCAATAACCAGGCCTGAGTACGTTGCTAGGACGCCGAGGATGAAGATGACAAGAAGGCCAGGGACTATGCCGAGCACAGCGAGGGCTTGAGGAAGGGCGAGGACACCAAGGGAAATGTTTTCGGCAAGCATGACTAAGGAACATATTAGCTGGAACGCCTGTTAGAGTTGCATGGAATTACATACGAATTCCGACGTGCCTGTGGAGTTTTGGTTAGTTACATTTGTAAGAGAGTATCTGTGTTGTGAGTACATACCACCACTCCATCGTCTTGTATCGAATAGCTGCCCCATCTTCATTGCCAAAGGCATCCTCTTCGGCGTAGCCTGGGTTGGCCTGTGTCGCGTGAGCATCTGGTTCTGTTCTGAGACGCGTCTGTACGTACCAGCTCCTCTTCGTCTGACCTTTGTGTAGCTTTAACGACAAGTTGCGGCTCGTTCTGGTCATCGCGAACCATCACTTTTCTTGACATGGGATTGGTATTAATTCCAGTAGCTTTTACAATCGGGTTGATTTTCTCATTCGTAGAAATCGACATCGTGGTTGATTTAGGGAAGTGGTTGGGGTCTGGAACGTTGTGTGATGGAAACGGGACGACAACGAGGAGAAATGAAAACAGCGTTAAAAGGGGATGAGAGATAGATGTCCTCAAATGTGTGTTCATGGGAGAAAATGTCACAACAAGTTTGGTAGGAAGACGTGCGTGACCAGCTCCACCTCAGCTGGCGACTTCAACAATTTTCTGGGCCAAGTTGGTTGGAACAGGCCAACCACTATTGCTTCATACCGCTTTACAACTCGAAGCTGCTCATTGAGCTTCCCATTGACCGGATTTGATATCTTGGTGACCTCCATTGTGGGCACTGTTCGTAGGCGGTTCCAAAGAATAGTGAAATGTCAATCGTTGGCTGCCCAATGGATATGGGATGATTACCTAACATCGATAAACCTCCTCGACTGAAATGTGCACTGCTGGTTCTCATCATCAGAAACATTCTCTTTCTCTTCGGCAGTATACTATTAATGACAGCGATGTCCTGGACCATGCCAAGATATCAGAACACGCCACATGACTTCGATGGTTAGTGTGTCCACCCCGACACAAATCAACCCCACGAACCAATCGTCGTACAACTATATTAATCCTGAACGAAAACCCGTTGGACAGGAATCCAACTTGCGATTTCCGTTGAGGAGGATGGCAGAAAAGGAAGGTCTGGAAGCGTGCGCGAGGAGTGCCGGTCCTGAAGAAAAGTGGCTGCGGGGTAAAGTGCAAGAATGTCCAACTCCAGCCTTCCGACTCATTAA